CTCTCTCTCTCTCTCTCTCTCTCTCTCTCTCTCTCTCTCTCTCACACACACACACACACACACACACACACACACACACACACACACACACTGTCAGGAACATCTGTTTTGTTTCTCTCTCTCTCTCTCTCTCTCACACACACACACACAGGGTTTCTCTGTGTAGCTTTGTGCCTTTCTTGGAACTTACTTGATAGCCCAGGTTGGCCTCAAACTTACAAAGATCAGCCTGCTTCTGCCTCCTGAGTGCTGGGATTAAAGGCGTGCACCACCACCGCCCGGCACATGTCTGTTTTTAATCACCCACTGAGTTGAATTAGGGTTGTTCCCACACATACAGATCATGAGCAACTTAGCAGTGGCCACAGTTCTGAGTTACAGGAAGGAGCTCTTTATGTGCCTTTAGACATTTGCGATATTTTCTTTCAGTCTGTTAAGCTGCTTATCTTCAAGGCCTTTGCCATGCAGCTTCTGCAGGTTGATCTAGCTGTTCATTTTCCTACTTCAGCTGCCTGTGCTCAGGCTGTGAGAGCCCAGAAATTATTAATCTGATGCTTTTCTCATTCTCTTCTAGAACTTTGCAATTCTGTTGTTCTGTTTGAGACAGGATCGTAGTAGCTTGAATTTGTATGACCTTGAATTTCTAAGAGTGCTTGTGTGTGTGTGTACACTGCCACCATGTCATTTACACATTCCTGGTGGTGGAATCTAGGGCTTCATGAATGCTAGGCAAGTACTCTACCAACTGAACCACATCGCAAGGCCAATTTTAAGTTTTTATATTTAGGTCTTTGATCTACCCTAGTTGATCACTGTGTGTAGTATTAGTATAGTGATCCAGTTTTACTCTTTTGCACAAGGATATTACTTTCCTAGCATTTGTAGAAAAGATGTGCTTGTTGGATTTTTTTTGTGAACTTGGCATAAGCTAGAGTCATCTAGGAAGAGCAAATGTCAGCTGAGAAAAAATTGGCTTGAAAGCCAATCTGTGGGGTGTTTTCTTGATTAATGACTAATATGGAAAGGTCCAGTCCACTGTGGGCAGTGCCACCCTTGGTCCTGGATTGTATATGAAAGCAGGTGGAGCGAGCCAGTAAGCACCATGCCTCCATGACTCCTGTTTCAGTCCCTGCCTCCGGGTTCCTGCCTTGGCTTCTCTCAGTGGATTGTGGCTCAAGATAAGGAAGCCAAATAAACTCTTTCCTGCCCAAGCTGTTCTTGGTCATAGTTTTTAGTCACAGCAATGGAAACCTAACTAATATAGACATTTAGGGTTTTTTGTTTTTTGGGTTTTTTTTTTTTTTCTATTTTCCTTAACCATATTTCTACTTTTATTTGGAAAGGCATTTACCAGATCATAAAAGTAACCTCTTATTTTCTGTAGTACTTTATGACTATTTTTATATATAAACCTTTTAAGTCTGCTATAACCTCAAGAAAAAAGCATATTCAATTTTCCTCATAATCTCTTAAATAACTTTCCCTTTGTTTCTACTGAAAGAAGTTTCTTTTTGGCTACAATTAACAAAATACATATTGACTAATGAAATGAGTATACGGTTCTCAAAAAGATGGTTCAAATGACCGATAAACATAATAAAAAGTGCTCAACACCACTAGTCAGAAGAGAATTGCAAACTTGAGATCCTGTCTCAGCAGGTAGCATGGCACTGATTTTAACGAGACAACAAATTCTGGTCAGGCTGTGAACAAAATGGTGGTGCTGAGAACTGAAACTTCTCCAGCCAGTACAGAAATCAGTATGGAGGCTCCTCAAAAAAGACCTACTATGTAGTCCAATGATAGCACTCAGCCATTTACCTGAAAGACTCCAAATTAACAAATCAGAGATCCTTGCGCATAGGTGTTTACTGTAGCACTACTTACAAGCACTAAGTTATGGAATCAACCTAAGTTTCACCAACAGAACAGACAGGAAAATTGAAATACTCACACACACAAAACTAAAATGAAATAGTTTTAAAAGGATAAAGTATGATCAGAAGTAAGTATAAAAATTACTTCCCAGTCTAATATTCTCTGGCACTAGTTATCAACTAACCTACATTTCACTTTGATTAATCGACGGAGGTCTCAAGGACTGAAATCTATTAAAATAAAATAAAATTTTCAAGCAATTTAGACAGTAACATATGTATTTATATGTACATATATACACACAATGTATAAATGAAATCCTTATATAAGCATACAAATTCTCTTAACAGAAATAAATTATAAACAATACAATAAAACTTAAGCTTAATTTAGCATAGTGGTTTGTTTTTTTAAATAACTAAAACAGATTTATACTTTAACAAATTTTGGTCATTTGAACACAAACTATTCTGATTGGTGCATATTTTTCTATACAGAAATTCAACACACCCTGAGTTTCACTTCCCAATCTATGGTTAAATACATATCACACTAAGGAAATAAGGATGTTTAAAATAATGAGCTTTACATCCTGGTGCCTAGTTCACTGCAATCACTTGGAACAGCTCGGTTAGTCTGTGTCGAGGTGGAAGGACCTTTTATCTCCTGGGATTCGGTCTACAGGAATCTGGTGAACTAACACGCTGCTCCAGCACAGCCAGCCAACGATGAGCTGAAATCGGGACTTGCAACACTTTTGTTCAGGAGAGTCTCTCTGTGCTTCACTGCACTCTATAGCTTCTGGATCATCACCTGAAATTTGCCTGGAAAACAGCATAATTATTCTTCAATTTGCAGGCATAAGGAAAACAAGCACATTCATTTCCACTCAGGAAGCAGTTTCATTCAAAGAACTTGCTATGTCAAAGGTCTTTTGCACTCCTTAAGGTATTCAGTAAAGCCTATTTCATTGAATAATTGTCTGGTTTATGAGGAGGTGTCTTTACTACATCCTGGGTCTGTCCCTCTGTCTCAACTCCCCCCACTCTGTTTGGAGACAGAGTCTCATTATGTAGCTCTGGCTTGGAGCTCACTATGTAGACCAAACCAGGCAAGCTTCAAACTCAGAGATTGCCTGCCTCTGCTTCCTCAATGCCGGGATTAAAGGTGTGAGTAACCATGCTTGGTAATTCTGGGTATTTCATTACTAGTTTGTCAGTGGATAGAAAAGTAATACAGTGAAATTCAACTAACTTGTGTTCTTGGTTAGTACCTTGATTGAAAAGATATTACATATTACCAAAATAAATGTGAAATAAATGATACTAAAATAAAAGTTTCAGCATTTTTAGCTTCCACTACATTTAAAAGAAAAAGACCTGAAAAATGAGTTAAGACATATATAAGATAAACAAACTTACAGGCAGGCATTGAAGATACTTCAGCTGTTACAATACTTTTTATTCCCAAGTTTGACAAGCCACCTCTGATTAAGCCACATGTAAATGCTAGATACTAAAAGGGGAAAAAAATTAAAAAACAGTAAGGATTTACTAAAACAATAAGCTATTGATAAACATGGAATTGATTTAAGCTATGGAATCTGCACATCAAGCTATATTTAAAAAGGAGAATGAAGAAAGAGGAGGACAAGGAGTAAGAGCAAGAGGAAAAGACAGGGCTAAGAAAAAATGAAGTTGTGAAGCTGGCCTTAATTCCCAGCACTTAGGAAAGAGAAGTAGGCTGATCTCTGAGTTCAAGGCCAGCCTGATCTACACTGAGTTCAAAAACAGCCAGAGCTAAATAGTAAAAGGTGTGAAAAGCCACTGGTGGTACACCCCTGCACTCCAGCTATTCAGGCTAAGGCAAGAGGATCATTTCTTGAGGCAGGAATTGGACGCCAACCTGAGCAACACACAGAGTCCCCACAGCATGCAACCACTAACTAAAAAGAAAGAAACAGCACAGATATTGTAAAGAACTGTTAGAGCTAAATCTAACTGAAACTAAAGCACACGGACAAATGACTTCAGCTTAATCAATCTGGTGCTGCAGAATAAGGCTCTGAATCTAGTATAATAGCAAAAACAGAGAAACAACAGAGTTGGCTTGTAAGTGTTCTCCAGGCTGTGCACAGGGATCTAACTAGACACTTGTACAACACTTAACTAGTTCTTTTTCTAGTCCCTTTAGCCTTAATTTCTTGCCTATTTTCTTGGCCTTCCTATCAACACTGCTAACTAAGTGAAGATGTCTCTGTTTCTTTTTCCTTTTTTCACCTGTGAGACAGGGTCGCATGTAGGTCAGCCAGGCCTCAAACTTCCTATGTAGCTAGCTCCTGGTCTCCCAGCTTGTCTCCCAAATACTGGGATTAAAAGCATGTGCTATCATATCCAGCTTCCTAAAACCAAACATCTCATCTTGTCTAAGACTTAAAGCTTAGCTACAGAGCTTGCCTGTAATCCTAGCACTCAAGCGGCTCAGGCAAGAGCATCACTACAAGTTGGAGACTAGCCTGGGCTTTGTGTTAAGTGCTCTTAACTCAGCAGCCATCAATCTAGTGCCCCAGCAAAACATCCTTAACTTATCACAACTAAAGAAACTAAGAGGCCCCAAAGTTAAGTGAGAATTAAAAGTAGTAAAATATGAATGAAAAGAAAAATAATGAACATATATTAACCATAAAAATGCCTGAAGCCTAAATTCATTTGGTTCTAGGTCCATGCTTTCTACATCATAACCACACTGCATTTGCAAGCTACTTCAGATACGAGAGGCTATTAGGAGGAGTAGAAGGACAGCAGGAAGGAGGCAGACAAAAAGGGGAGGCGCTGGGCCAGGAGGACCAACAAGAACAAAGCACACATGAAAGAAGAATCATGACACCTTTGTATGATTTACCTTCGCATGGTAATTTTAAAAATTCATAGAAAATTGAAGAATGAACAATATTTATAGATAAATAGCAAATTATACTTGCTTAGATACTTTTAATATTTCAAAGGAATCTTTATGTTAGAATTTGTTATTCTGCCAGGCATAGTGACATAGGCCTTTAATCCCAGCACTTAGGAGGCAGTGAGCTCCAGGCCAGCCTGGTCTACAGAGCAAGTTTCAGACTAGCCAGGCTACAGAGAGAGATCCTGCCTCCCTTCCAAAAACAAAACACCCTAAAATTTGTTAAGTTTTCTTTAGTCCATCTGTTTACTCATTGACTTCTTTGTGAGATAAAAGGCAAAACTCACACAAACCCTAGAAATACAGATATACTTAATGTAAAACAAAATTTTAGAAACAAATGACAATTATATTTCTTTTTTTTTTTTTAGCCAGAGCTGAGGACCGAACCCAGGGCCTTAAGCGCTCTACCACTGAGCTAAATCCCCAACCCGACAATTACATTTCTTAAACATTTTAGCCTAGCAAAGGAGATGGTAAACTCTGAGGTAAGTAATTCTGTACAGCTAATGTCTGTGTCTGAGTACCTTTACTGAGATAACAACATCATATTAAAGAGTCTGCAGTAAAGTCTACATTCACTGCGTGTCTCAGGTACACAGGAGCTGATGGTCAATATGTCTCCTGTTTCATAGAAAATGGCTTATACAAAATGGTATAAGTGAAATTACTATTTACTGAGACAGTGCACTTATTTATTTATTTATTTATTTATTTATTTATTTATTTATTTATTTATTTATTTATTGGTCTTTTGAAACAAGGTTTCTTTGTGTAGCCTTGGCTGTCCTGGAACTCACTCTGTAGACCAGGCTGGCCTCCAACTCAGAAATCTGCCTATCACTGCCTTCCAAGCACTAGGATTAAGGGCATGAGCCACCGCCACCACCACCATTACCAGCCTAAGAGTTTATTAAAAGACATTTTTAACTTGGACTTTTAACATTCGGGTTAAGAAAAAAGGAGGGGACTGGAGAGGAGAGGTGACTCAGTGGTTGAGACCACTTGTTACTGTTGCAAAGGACAGGAATTGGGTTCTCAGCACCCATATGGAAGCTCACCATCTCCTCAGGCATCAGACACGCATACAGTGCACACATATAAGCAGGCAACGCTTGTACACACAAAACAATAAAATAAAAAGTCTAGATTAAAAAAAGAAGAAAGATCTACTTAAAAAAAAGGATCACTTAAGAACATGGGTTTGGGCTTCTCAATGAGTTGCTGAGTTACTATGTTTAATTTCAATCTGTTGTGATTGGCTTTGTAATTTTCCCTCTTATTCTATTTTTTTGTTTCAGTACAAAACCAAATTCCATTACATACCTTTGAAGCATGTTCTAAATACTGTTTTCCTGCAGACAGCTGAGTAAGTAGTCGAAATTTGTTGTCCTGAAGTACATATATGCCCTGTATTAAAAAATTAAAAAACAATATCAAAAGTCTGTGCAGTCTGCAGTCCTTAAAAATTAACTTACCCTAGGCGGGTATAGTTTGCCATGACTATGATTCCATTACAAAGTCAGCAGACTGTCTCAATAAATAAACAGATAAAGTAGACAAGACTGGTAGACAGACAGATGATAGAGAGATAGATAGATAGAGAGATAGAGAGATAGACAGAGATAGATAGACAGATAGATGAATAAGTAAGTGAACGGATCTAGGAATAAAAAGAATATAAATTAGCTACTGCACACCCAAACAACTTCTTGTATAAGATTCATTTTTTTTAAACTGTTCGTGAGGGCCAAGCGATGGAGGTGCACATGGTGCCTTTAATCCGATATCACTGCCTTTAATCCCAGCACTTGGGAGGCAGAGGCAGGCAGATCTCTGCGAGTTTGAGGCCATCTTGGTCTACGAAGAGAGTTCCAGGACAGCCAGGGCTGTTCCACAGAGAAACCCTGTCTTGAAAAACTGTGTATGAGAATGTGCACATCAGTGTAGCTGCTCAGTGAGATGAAAAAAGACACAGATCCCCTGGAGCTGGAACTACGGGCAGCTATGAGCGTCTGACATGGACTGGAAACTAAACTCAGGTCCTCTGTTAGAATATTATGAGCTCTTAACCACTGAGCCATCTCAGCCATCTCTCTAGTTAAACCAAAGCAAGTTATTTAAGAGTTAAATATGGTCTATGAATTAGACTTTAGAAATTATTCTAAAGATATAAATATGATAATGGTTATGGTTCTGAGTGATAAATAAAGGATCAATCCTAAACCAATGTCGTGGTACATTCTAAAGATTTTTTCCCCAGTTCCAACAGTTTTATTAGAAAATATGTTTTTGAAAACAAGACTCATTTTATCATTTCTGGTCAGTGGAATGAAGAGCTGTGTCCAGGAACCCTTCAGTAATGCTAAAAAGGACCCTGTTTCGTCCACCTCTATTCACAGACCCAATGATGGCACAAACTTGTAGTCAACGAGTTATTCTAGCTTGAACCACAGACTCATCTCTTTGTCAGTCAGCATTGAATCACTGCCATGAATGACGGTCCTGCCAACTTAAATGCAGAAAGTCCCCGACTATCAAAACACCACCAAAAATGAGGTGTCTCTTTGCCCACTGTTAGAGGACTATTGTATTTTTTGTTTTGTTTTTTGAGACAGGGTCTGGTGGTATTCTAATTGTACTGAAATGTGATTTTGATTGTATGTTAATAAATAAAGTTGCCCGGGGGTCAGAGCTATTAGAGCCATAGCAAGAGTGTGGTGGTGGTGGTGGTGGTGGTGGTGGTGGTGGTGGTGGTGGCACACGCCTTTAATCCCATAGATCTCTGTGTGTTCAGGGATACAGCCAGCATTGGAGACATATGCCTTTAAGACCTAGGGGGCTGTACATTCAGACAGTGACGAGGCAGTCACGTGTTTGGGTTTACAACCAATGAGAAGGCAGAATGATTGGAAAATCGACTTACAGGAAGTAGCTCTTTTTCGGGAAGCTGGGACAGCAGGAGGAAGGGTGAGATTTTAGCTCTGAGCTCTGACCTCTCGGCTTTCTCTTTTACATTGTTTCTGTGTTTCTTATTTAATAAGACGGTTGGTTACATCAACAACAGGGTTTCTCTGTGTAACCCTGACTGTCCTAGAACTTGCTATGTAGACCAGGCTGGCCTCAAACAGAGAGATCCAACTGCCTCTGCCTCCCAAGTGCTGGGATTAAAAGCATGCACCACCACACCCAGCTGAGTTAGTTTTAGTTATGTGTTTATAGGTATGTGTGTGTGTACATGCATGTGGATTCCTAAAGAAGCCAGACACCAAATCCTCCTAGAGTTGGAATTTCAAGAGCTTGTGAGACATCTGTCATGGGTGTTGGGAACCAAACTTGTGTCCTTTAAAAAAGCAACACATTCACTTAATCACTGGGCCATCTTTCCAGCCGCCATTTGCTACTTTTTACTTTTGTTTTGTTTTTGTTTTTCAAAACAGGGTTTCTCTGTGTAGCCTTGGCTGGCTGTTCTGAAACTCATGCTGTAGACCATGCTGGCCTCAAACTCAGAGACCTACCTGCCTCTGCCTCCCAATGCTACATTTTAAATTTTTAACACAACTTAACCTAAGTAATTAGAAGAAAAGAACCAGTTATAGTTACTGATAACTATTGCTTTTTCCTTTTTCATTTTACCCTACCAGAGAAAAAGACCGACTTATCAATAACATTAGAAAAACATGAAATTTACCCTTCCCCCCAAAAAAGAGTTCTAAGGGGCTGGAGAGAGATGGCTCAGCTATTATGATCACCTGCTGCACTTGCAAAGGACCCAGGTCCAGTGCCCAGCAAACACACTGAAGCTCACGATCTTTCCTCGCTCCAGCTGCAAAGAATCCGACACCCTCTTCTGGCCACTAAATGCACAAGGTACTCTTACATACAAAAAAATAAATCCTAAAAAATGTAATTATAAGTAAATTAAGGGCCAACAAAGACAGCACAGCTTGAAAAAGCCCTTGTGCACAAGCCTCACAATCTCAACTGGATCCCTGAACCTACTGTAGATGGAGAGTTAGATGGAGAGACAACCCGGAAACTGTCCTCTAACCTCACTGTGCCACGCAAGCAGTTACATTCACACATATATCATATACAACACTAGGTAAGTAAATATTTGATACGAAGGACATTCACATTAAGTGACTTTAAAAAAACAGGTCTTCAAAACAACAAAAAAAGATTTATCTAAATACCTGGTGATTTGTCCTTAGATTGTCAATTTGTTTCTTGAAAACTGTAGTCCAAAAATCTTTACATATGAACTTCATGATGTCTAATTCATCCTTGAACCTTGCAGTATCTTTTGTAAACCTAAAAGATCAACTAGAAGTAATACAATATATTTCTTCCAAAGAAAACAAAGCGGGTGTATTTTTCTAACAAGGGGCAAATTATTAGCTAATTTCTAACTGCCACTATTACTAAGCATTTATTGATAGTGATCATACAGTCATTAATACCAAGCAAAGCCAATCTCATCTCAGTGGATTTACATTCTGTCACATAATTATGGGGCTCAAGAGTCTATGATTTACTAGTCAGCCACACTTTCAGTGACAATTCAAACTTGCACATGAAAAACAACAAAAACGACCTCATTGAACATGGTGGTTTGTGCCTATAATCCAAGCACTCTGGAGGCTGAGGTAAGATCTCCACAGGTCTGAGGTCAACCTGGGCTTTATGAGTTCCAGGGCAGGCTGGGAGACTGGGCTACAGTATGAAACTTTATTTAAAAAAAAAAAAAAAAGCTGGGCAATGGTGGCCCACACCTTTAATCTCAGGCCTCAGAAGGTAGAGAGGTAGGTGGATCTCTGTAAGTTCTAGGAGTTCAAGTCCAGCCTAGTGAGTTCCAGGACAGCCAAGGCTATACAGAGAAACCCTGTCTCGAAAAACCAAAAACCAAAAAAGAGTAAACATAGTGTTTTATATAAAATATAATCTAATCTAAATTCTACCATTTAGATATTCAGAAAGGAAAACAAAAAAGCAAAAAAGAAATGATCCATGAACAGAGACTTTCAGACGTTTCTATGCCTCGGCAGTTAAAAAAAATTCCATTTTCATTCGGTTTTTAAAAACCTACTAAGCCATAATACAGAAAATGCAATGAGACTGTAAATAGATATTTCAGTATATTAATGTTTTCACGGAAAAAAAAAAATCACGTATGTAAAATAGGTCTTCCTCAATTATTAAAACATGAAATTTGAAGCTGAGCACAGTGGAGAATGGTTATAATCCCAGTATTCGGGGGACTGACAGCATGAATAGTAAATCTGCAGCCAGTCTGGGTTACACAGCAAGGCCAAGTCCATAAACAAAAATAATAAAACCCGAATAACAGAATTAAACAAGCAGCAGATCTAGAGAGAATTTTTTTCCAGTGATGGAACCCAGGGCCTCAGGCTCACTAAACACATGTCCTACTACTGATATACCAGCAGCCCCTTAAAAACAATATCCATTCTATCAACTACAAAGCAGAAAAGAAGCCAGTCAGTGGTGGTGCACTCGGGAGGCAGAGCCAAGCAGATCTGAGTTCAAGGCCAGCCTGGTCTACAGAGCGAGCTCCAGGACAGGCACCAAAACTACACAGAGAAACCTTGTCTGGGGGGTTTGGGGGGGAAGGCAGAAAAGAATTAAAAATTGGAAATTAAAATCAAAGTATCTCAAGTGTTATATAATGATTTGGAACTGGTCTTCTGGGGTCATAACCTACCTGGAAGAAAATTTTCAAATCCATACTGCTCACCTTTCTATCAATCCTTGTCCCACTCGAAACCCCATGTTTTCCAGCTTAGTAATACATCGTCCATTTTCCTATCAAAAAAAAAAGTTTTGAATACTTAGAATTCTAAGACATCTGTATTTTAAAACAGTAAAATAGAAATCAAAGAACAAAAAGATGTCTCAGCAGGTAAAGGTACTTGCCACCAACCCTGATGATTTTTTTTTTAATCAGTACCTTTACTACATACCACTTGCAAAGAAAGAAATCAGGGGGCAAATAAATTCACAATGACTTAAACATTAAATAAATTACAAAAAGATAGAAGACCCTCACAACAAAAAACTCTCACAACTTTTTATTTAAATGTTTCATTGTAAGTATCTGGGGAGCACGTACGTCATGGCACTCAGGAGGAAGTAAAAGGACAATTTGTAGGTCTTAGCTCTCTTTCCACCACAGGAATCCAAGGGATTCAACAATTCAACTCAGGTTCTCAGGCTTGACAGCAGGCACCTTTGTAAGTAAGCAACTTAACAGCCCTAAATTTGTCTTACATGTAGTGTGTGTGTGTGTGTGTGTGTGTGTGTGTGTGTGTGTGTGTGTGTCACAATGCACATGTGGGAGTGAGAGGACAAACTGAGGTGGTTTGCTCCTTCCACCATGTGGGTCCCAAGAATCCAACTCAGGCTCTCAGGCTTGGTAACAAACACCCCATTGTTGTTTTTACTCTTTTTGGGGGGCCCGCCACCCAGCTCCCAAATAAATACACGGAGGCTTATTCTTTTTTTTTTTTTTTTTTTTTATTATGTATACAGTGGTCTGCCTGCAGGCCAGAATAGGGAACCAGATCTCATTACAGATGGTTATGAGCCACCATGTGGTTGCTGGAAATTAAACTCAGGTCGTCTGGAAGAACAGCCCATCTGAGCCATCTCTCCAGCCCATGGAGACATATTCTTTTTTTTTTTTTTTTTTTTTTTTGGTTTTTCGAGACAGGGTTTCTCTGTGTAGCTTTGCGCCTTTCCTGGATCTCGCTCTGTAGACCAGGCTGGCCTTGAACTCACAAAGATCTGCCTGCCTCTGCCTCCCAAGTGTTGGAATTAAACGCATACACCACCACCACCCGGCTAAAACACGGGCAGGTTACTTATTCTTAATTATCAATGCCCAGCCTTAGCTTGGTAGCTTCTTGCCAGCTTTCCTTAACTTATTCTGACTACCTTTTGCCTCTGGGCTTTTCCCATTCTCTAACTTCTGTAAATGTTACTCTTATTCAATGGCTCGCTGTGTAGCTGGCTGGTCCCTGGAGTCCTCTCCTTCTCTGGCTCCTAGCTCTCTCCTCCCAGATTTCTCCCTGTATATATCCTCTTTGCCTGCCAGCCCCACCTATCCTTTCTCCTGCCTTGCTATTGGCCAGTTCTTTATTAGACCACCAGGTGTTTTATACAGGCACAGTAACACAGCTTCACAGAGTTAAACAAATGCAATGTAAGCAAAAGTAACATACATTAAAATAATATTCTACTACAGTACCCTTTTCAACAGAGTCTCTGCTGATAGATATAGTGACAATTTTGAAATGCTAAAAAATAAATTCAAGATAACACTAGAGTACGTACACACACACACACACACACACACACACACACACACACACACACACGTTTGAATAAAGTTACACCACTTTAGGAGATAATGCTCACCCCAGAGCCACAGGCTAACTAACAAAAACTAGGTTTGTCAGGAGTGGAATATCTCTCTGTGAGCTGTTGATAAGGGAAGTTCAGGAGACTCCCCAAAACAATAGGCTGTAGCTGGAAGTTTTTCTGTGTTCCACCCAGTCCCACAGCCACTCAGACCCAAATAAACACACAGAGGCTTATATTAATTATGAATTGTATGGCCATGGCCTATGGCTCAAGCTTCTTATTAGCTGATCTTATATCTTATATTAACCCATTTCTGTCCTTCTGTAAGTTGCCACGTGGCCGTGTCTCACCAGTACTTTATATGTTGCTTCTTCCGCCGGCGGCTGGCACTGTCTCCTTCCTCCCCTTCTCCTCCCACTGTCTCTCTCCGATTTTCCCGCCTGGCTCCATCCTGCCCTGCCATAGGCTGATACAGTTTTATTTATCAACCAGTCAGAGCAGCACATATTCACAACATACAGAAAGACATCCCACAGCAATAGGCTATTGCCCGCGCCCTTGGCTGCCTCCCAGAACCTGAAGTAAGACCCTATTGCTGAAGACACAACACACAGCACAAACTGAGCTGGAAATGACTAGAAGTATACTCCCTTGAAGACTAGCTACCACAGTATCCAAAAGTAGTATGCAAACTGCCAAGGGAGAAAAGCAATCAATAGTCCTACCCAGCTGTGATGCCTATAAACCACAGCAATGACCAGCATGGCAGAATGTCATCCCCAAGGGTACAATAGTCACACTTATATCTTGGGGGTAACAAGTAGATACCTAATTGGACATAACGTCTCTTCAAGAGGAAGGGAGTCATGCCTGGTACTATGACCCTAACCAATTACCTGTGAAGTCATGAACCCTAGAGGAGAACCTCCTACTGACATTTTCCTAAACCAATATAATTTCTAACTGCATTCTCAATGCTTATCCTTATACCTACATATAAGTGTTCCTTCTGAAGCAGATGGAGACCATTACAGAAACCCACAACAGGTGAAACATAGAAAACAACTGACTGTGAGGTGCCTGATGCCAACTGATACGTCTACAACATAACCCCTATATAAGGCTCAGAGAATATATCAGAATGGGGTGAGGGGACAGAAAACTGCAAGAGCCAGAGGACCAGAACATCTGCTGTGAGACTACATTGTGTCTTCTATGTATGAGAGGAACACCGCACTCATAAACTCTCAACAATACAGTCACCTAAACAAAACCTACACAACAATACCAGTTGCCATGCCAACAGAGACAGGGGATGTCTCACAAGGCCCCACCTTTAAATGAAGAGCTATGAGCCATTAATGACTGCAGAGAGAGGGAGAATTGGTCTTCTTCAGAGAGGAGTCCCTTATAGGTTATTCAATCCCAAGTTTTCAGCCCTAAAAAACACACAACACTAGAGGGACTCAGTAGGGCGTGTGTGTGTGTGTGTGTGTGTGTGTGTGTGTGTGTGTGTGTGTGAACAATAATTAAGAATAGGTCATGCTTGAGAGTGGGGAAGCATGGAGAAGTCGGAAGAGAAAAAAGGTGGGGTGGAAGTGATATAAATACAGTACTAATGCATGAAATTCTCAAAAAAATTTAAATAAAAAAATAAAGTTGAAGAAAAGTGAAGGAAAAAAGGCACTAGATGAAATACCTCTCATGCTCATAGATTAGTGAATATGCTGTGAAAGTCAACACCCAATTCTTATCAAGATTCTAGTAAGATCCTCACAAAACTAGACAAATGAAACTTAAAAACTGCCTAAGATCCAAATAGCCAAAGCAATCCTGAGCGGAGAGAATAATGCTGGAGCACTCCAGAGCTATAGTAATGGAAACAGCACGATATTGGCACACAAACAGACACAAAGACCAATCCCAGAACAAACTCCCACAGCCACAGCTGACCTTTGATAAAACAGCACAAACATACATACCCTGGTGAACAGCGCTGGGGTGTGGGTAAATGACAGAGCATCATCTAGTGGGGACTCACACAAGACCCCGGCCACAATCCCTAACATCTGCGGCTCTTTCCAGGAAGTGGGGTCCCTGAAAAAACTGGAATGGTCACAGGTAAAAGAAAGAAAATAGTTCTCTCACTCTGCACAAAAATAAATTCAAATGGACCAGACCAGAGACCTTAATGTAAAAACCTGAAACTCTGAAATTGCTAAAGTAAAACACTTTAAGATATAATCGGAGGCAAAACATTTCAGAAAAGGTTCCCAGTAGCACTGGAAATAATAACTGACATATGAGATCCTATGCAATAAAGGGTTTCTATGTAACAGTCAGTAAAGAGATAAACTACAGAATGATGGAATGAAATGGAAAAAAAAATCTCTGCTAAGTATACATCAGACATGGGATTGCTATCTTGATTCTGTAAAGACCTCGGGGGGGGGG